GTGTGCCTGCTGGGCTCCAGCAAAACTAGCACAGCAGTGAGAGCAAAGAAGCCGCTGAGCTCACCAGGCTTGGCTGGATATCCTGTTACTACTATTTTTTCAGTTTGCAAGTATGCCAGTTGTTTGACACTACACTTACAAATATTGAGGTATTTGTATTTCACAGAAAAACTTGAATGGCATTCAAGAGATTAAGGCACATGATGTAGAACTAGCAAGAGCAAGCATTCAGATTACAATTGGCCACGTGTCTTTGAATGCAGCACTTTCCACTGATATCCATACAATATTCGGATTGCATCCACAGGAAAGGCCTAGGCACTGTTCTGCATAAAGGCTGTGTGGGAGAACATGGAAAAGAACCAGAAGGCAGCCCTGTAGCCCAGTAAATATGGTTTTCACATCACTAGGAAAAGTGACAGGCTTTGATCCATCCATGCAGGGTTTGTCTGCACTTGTCTTGGCCTGAGCTGATTTCAGCTTGTTTTAGCTGTGACAGCAGTTGTCTAGCAGCCAGCGATCAATTGCATAACTTATTTTTGGATAGCTCTGTAAATACCACATACCATAAATGTGTAGCTGACCTATGCTGTCATTTAGTAACAAATATTAACCCTGTAGACTGAGGCTGCAGAAGCTATTGTGTATCTTTAACTAAGACAGTCAGACAAAGACTGACAAACTTTAGGTGGGAACCAGTGAAAAAAGAGCAACTAGGCAGACTGTGTTAGCAACCAAAGAAAATAAAACTCCAGCTCAACCCAAGAATGAGGAGGAAAAACCTGTCCCCATCAACAACATAACCCCTCCTGAAAAACAGCTTGGTGGACACCAGTCGATGACTCCCTATTCTTCTCGTGGAAGACAGGTGCCATAGACATAGGACTCATGGGGCATTGCAACGATGAACAAAACTCTACTAGGAAGCATTTGTCAGAAATTTTAATGTATTCTTAATGACGTTCTTCCTGATAATTTGGACTGTGCAGCATTATTGTAACTGGTCTTATAATTTGTTTGTTATATTCTGATTAGACCCTTATAACTTCAGCTAGTCAAACAATGACTTCTTGACTTTGTGTATAAGGTGTGCATTTCCATTTGGGCTGTCATAAGACTCTGAGTGTAACAGAGACTGTGAGCAGCTTTTCTGTGAAAGCCTTTCTGTGGATGGCAGCTTCCATTGATCCCAGAAGACCCGGAACGCAGCTCACGTGTGTTCTTGTGGTCCCGGCAAGCATCTTGCTTATAATCCATCTCCACTTTGTAAGAACTGTTGGAATTGGGGAACAGCCCAATTTTCATAACATAGATGCTAACCAAGAGTTTGCAAACTTTAAAGTGTTAACACCAAAACCTTCCTATAAGGAGATCAAGTGAAACAGCACATGGGCAATGTGGTCAATACACAGAGGCACATAGGCTAGATCACAAAATTCAGACTTCAGAATCAAAGGTGAGAAATTAAAAGCTGAAATTGAAGCCTGCTGAGTTAAAACACTGAGAAAGTAAAACTCTAGAAAGGATTGAAGCTGTAGAGTGACATTATGTGCAAAGCAAGGCATGGACACAGCTCTTACCAAAGCACCCTCTTGTGAAGCTGCTGACTTAAGGGACAGTGATTAATGGTTTGATTGATATAGTGGCCCTTCCACAGAGAAGTGTAAGGCTAAAAGTCCACATGCCTCTGATGCTGAGGTGCTGCCAGTGTTCAAAGTGAATCCTGTATCATCCATCACTACCTGGGTTACTGTAAAAAGAGAAGATGGACAAACAGAAGGGAAAGAAGGCTAAATAGACAACCAGAGTCAGACTGAGTTGTTAAGAGAGAAATAATGATTACTGCTCATCAGATCCCAGAATAATTCAGAGCCTTGGCCTCAAAAGCATATCCTTTAAACAAAAAAAAAATGTGTATTAAGTGGCTTCTGGAGTTAAATGCTGATACTGTTTTAACCATGACTGACAAAGAGAATTCCTCTTAGGCATCTGCTACAGCTTCCGAGTGGACTGATGGAATAACTGATATAGATGCAATCTTTGCAGTAATAAATAATCATTATAAGTGGATACATCACATTGTACTACATATATTAGCACAACTCAAATGTAACAGTAGAAATGTATTTGGCATGGAAAATGTTGCCAGCCTCTGCTCATAGTGTCCTAAATGATAGAGACAGACAAGCTCCAAATTATGACCAGGTCACATTTGAACAGTTGTATTCCATGGCCTAGCCTCAGGACATTAAACACAGCTATAAAGCAGGAAAAGGATCTTAAGGGAAACTTAGACAACATTGGGATCGACCAAAGAGAAGGAATTATAACAGTCATGCTAGGAGGAGTCTGGAGGAGTATGGTTATCACTACCATCTGCCCCATTGCAAAGAGAGCTCCACAATAGAGAACCAGCTGAAAAACTCAGAGAAGCTTTAGTTTTTGAATCTATTGTAAAAACATAAAGGGCCAGAGATACAGTCAAGAATGGAACAGAGCAAATCACTATCACCTTAGACTCAGAAAAGATTAGAGTACAAATGCAGATGATAAGGCCCCTACATGATACTTGCATTGAAGGAGTGGTTAGTCTGAAGAAAAGCCCCATGCTTGACGTCTGAGAATCTAGCTCAAGAAACATACAGTGAATCAGAGTGATCAGTGAGATCAACTATTGCTTGGAGACAATTAGCAAAAGGGATCCAGCAAGCAAGGACAATTATGAGAAATGAGAAAAGGGGATAATAACACACTGGAATTAGTCCAGCCTGTAACATTTGCCAACAGTGGACCCCAGCACTGGAATTGGAGAAGGAGGGTAAGTGTGAAGCAGGATGCTAGTAGGACTGCCCAGTGTTTTATGGACCTTGCATATGGAAGAGCAAGGGAGGATAAAAAAGAGTGGTACGGAAGAACAAGTAATCCATTTCAGTCCTAGGGGTGTCACTACTTAAAGGTTGCATTGATTTGGTTTTGCTTTCTTTTTGTCATTGTCTGTGTATATATGAAATGGAAAAGATATAATCCTGGGTTTTTTTAGTCAATATTCATGGCTGAAGTTAAAATCATGACCATCACATTCATCTATGAATGATGGGGAGAAATGGAATCAATTGTAAGATGCTCCCATCTCCCAGCAAGGGAAACTCCATTTCTCTCAATGAGGGTATGCATGCCTCCCATTAATTACAGTGATCAGGATCACTAATATATGATGTTTGCATATGCAACAAAAACATACATGGAGATGCTGTCTATTTATAAAACATAATAGTTTAAGTGTTACAAAAAGCAAAGTTTAATCAATTAAGTATAGAAATGACAATGGTACATTTTATTTTAGAGGAATGTATGCTATTACGTGTACATTTGCAACACTGGGACTGGGAAGGCTGCATTTTTTTGTAGTGTTATATACGATGCCAGAGATATAAAACAGCTATGTCAAATTGGATGCTTCTGGGCTACGCAGAAAAGAGATCATGGTGGAAACCAGAATTTCCTCAATTACAGATATGTAAAAAACTACATAGAATTACGACATACAACCGTGTACCAATTTTTATGATAAAGACTTTTTGTTATCAAGGAGTTAGCCAGTAATGTTAGAAATGTATAACACCATTGCACTTTTATGTTCATCAAATGCCCATGAATTATTGTAAATAATCTCATTGTGTATAATTTATCTGATAATAGATGTATAAGTAAAGTAACGTCTGCTGAAGGATGTGGTTTTAATTACAGCATACTTCTAGAAGCAACACTCAGCTCACAGGAATCAATGCAATTGTATGCTATGTTAGGCTCAATGCCTTTAGGAATTGCCAAGAAATTTTCAACAATTTTCGAATAATTGCCAGAAATGCTAGTGCACCCCACTCTTACACCTGAAGTCTGACAAGCCGTACAGAAGCCACAAAGGGAGAGGGTTCTGTACACCGCACAAATCGCCAAGTAAACCACATTACTACCACAAGCCCAAAATGCAGCGGAAGGGCCGCTGAGAGCGGTCTTCTTCAGCTAGAAGAGTTTGGAACTCGGCTTTATATCCTAAGTCATCATTTTAACCATTATACTGATTTCTATTAGCTGTAAAAATAAAATTGTAAGTATACTATGGTTATACAGAACAATGAAGAACTACAGATTACTCTCAGATCTTTACAAGTTATCTCAAGGTAAAATCAGACAGAACAGAGCAAATGTCTCTGAGATCTGCTGCCTCCTCCTGATCAGTAGCCTCGAGGTGTAGAATGGTTGCAACATCCATTTTTGACTGTAAAAAGTGTCTGTGCACTTACAAAAGGAAGGAGTATAGCCTGGCAGGCAAATAAATATGATTTTGCCATTTTTAGCATGCTAATAGAAAAAAGACATCATATCAGGCAACTAAATCTCACATTCGAATTGGAGAGGTATTTATGGTTTTTTTAGGTGCCAAGTTCTGTAACACCAAATGGTGTACACGAAATTAAACCTTTTTGAAAAAATACTAGATCTTGGCTTTCTCTTGCGTAGAGCTATGCTGCCCTCCCGTATTGGACCTCGAATGGTGAGATTTGCAGGCTCATTGAAGTGCATAGCACTGATTACCACCTCTTCACCTGAAATGAGTAGCAAAAGGAACTTTTTGTCTGCTGTATGATCTAGTTGCCAGGCTGGTAAAAACCCCCTCATTTTACCTGTGGTTTACACAACTCTTAGACTCTATAAGCTACTTAAAATTAGTAAGTTGCTTATTTGAATAGCTCTAAGGGGCTATGCATCAGCGTGCAAAAAGACAGATAGATTTTATACCTTCATCCTGAAAAGGAGAGAGACAGAAGCTTGAAATCTTGCTTGACTTTAATCACAAATAGAATCACAATGCATTGATTCACCACAATTCAGGTCAACCATTTTCCCCTCATTTTACATCAGATATCCTGCCCGCCGTAAAGTGGTGTAAATCTGCAAACACCCTTCAAAGACCCAATTAACTTTCACTTTACAATATCTTAGACACCCAGAAGGACTGCACTCTTCTTGCAGACCCACTTGTACAGGGAATGGCAGTTGTCAGCATGCATTTCTGTCAGCTTATAGGCAGCACATTTTTCTTCTTTCTTCCTTCCTTTTATTGTGAAACTGCAAGAGCCAAACAACACACAGATATGAAGACCATTGAAAAAGTTGTTTGCATATCCACAGTGAAACCACAAAGATTGGATTTTTTTGTCTTTATGCTGTCATTCTTTTGATTCTCTGACATGAAGGCAGGTTTTATTTGTTTAGTAAGCTTCACCCTTTCCTGTTTCCCTACTTGTTATGCAGCTGAAAGTAAAAAGCTTACACAGCATAGGCACCTCCTAACAAAATCAGTTGCTTTTCTGAAAGCTGTCAAGGAATTTCACTTTTCAACTGCATGTTTTGATCGGAATTCTGTACTGAGAAGAATCAGAATCGGCTGAGCAGCCTAGCTCGAGTATGGGCCCTGATATCTTACTACCACTTTCTCACGGGCTAACGGCTGAGCAGGCCAGGCACAGCGAGTGGAGAACGCGTCATGGAAGCCCGCACAGATTCACTCCAGAATGAACCTACCTGTGCCCTGGATGTTTGGGATTATTGAGCCAAATCCATCTTCCTTCCTCTTCATCAAAGCTTAATCCAGTCCAAACAAAGCCAATGTCTTTATCCTTCAGTTTGTTTAAGAAATCCTAGGGAGAGGTATGTCTTTGAGCTCTCATAATAATGACACTTTGTAAAACTCCAGCATCAGTAAGGTATAGTGGTAATTAATATTTTAAAACCAGCGAGGCTTTCATGCCCAAAGATTCCACGCAATGTTTCCAAGAAATTGAGATGCAAGAAAAAAAAAACCAAAAAACACATGGAAATTAGTTCAGATTCTCAGCGACACCCAGTACCATGGCTAATGATGGTAAGTGGAGCAACCAAGAAGCCAAACTTTGGTTCCTTGCTGGCCCCAGGCCCACTCCACTAGCCCATTTTAGATGAGGATCAGGCTGATCTGAATTACAAGAGCTGAAGCTATCTCCTCTTTTCCCCCCCTGCAAGGAAGGGAGGTGATGATTTTGCCAGGTCACCCTCCTGGATGCTCTAGAAGTGACTGAATCTTGTCACTCTTAAGCAGAATCAGGAGCACAAAAGACATGCTACAGGCTAGGATATGGTCCACAGAACTGTCTTTTCTATTGCTGCAGACCTAGTACTGACATTTTAAAACGTGCAGAGTACAGAGAAACAGCTCCATGCCCCAAAGAAAGGCAACAGCCTTTCTGACAGCTTGGTTCAGAACAGGCTTGATTTGGAATAAAACATGCAAGAACCCTTCAAATACCAGCTGCCTTTTGCTGGAGATAATCTCGAGGCATATCATTGCATCTATTTAAATGAAACGCAGGCTATTGGTCTTCTGCTTGACACAAATGTTTCTTAACATGTAGAAGCCAATCATTAGAGCACTTTCCACTGACAATGCCTTTTATGAGCATATCTGGATTTAGAAATGGCTTCTAAAAATACATAGAAAGCTGTGATATGTGGATTCACAAGGTACAAGTAAAAAGAATATTTAAGCCACAGAATGCCTTACAAGCTTACCATTTCAGCCTCATCCTCTATAATCAGGAGCTCAGATTTTTTTCCTGAGCAATACTTTCTACTGTTCTCCCAGGTGTCACGAGTTTCTGAGTAGAAATAACATCTCCCATAATGCAGCTTCCAGCCAATGGGGCAGAGTTCACATCTGGAGTCTGTGAAGAGTTTGGGGTGAAGGGATTTTTGTCACTTCTTTTTTTTTTTTTTTACAACTGAAATCATTATTATTGCCTCCTGCTTTTTCTGTGGCTTTTGAATAAGAGAGTAAAGAATCTTTAAACCAGGGGCAGGGCAGAAGTTGTAATGGTATAGCTCAGTTTAAGAAAGAAGAATGTCCCTGCTTTACAGTGGTAATAGGGATAGTCATTCTTTGATGAGGGATGACTCTGTCTCTTTAAGTATTTCAGAATTCTAGAGAATTGTGATAAATATTTTACATAATAATTGGAGTAAAAGCCATGGACAAAATCCTAGCTCTGCTGAAATCACTGGGAGTAGTACAATTCAATGGCATCAACAAAGACTTTCAGTAACACTGCTCTGCTTTTATTTTTTGCTTGAACTAGAATTTTTAAAGATGGAACTCTAAAATAGATCACTTCATACATTTTTCTCAATATAATCGTGCTTCTTCTGGTATCTAAAGGTCAATTCCTTTGTGCAGATGTGTATTTTTATATTAATCTTTTGAAGAGCTTCAAACCGTTTATCCTACTATGAGTGAGACTATTTCCTTACCATTCGTATGCATGCATAAGCTTTCCTTTAATGTAGCCAGTAAACTGCTTTCATGAAGATCTTCCTCAATGATACTGTCACTTTCAGAAAGATTTTTTCTGGCCTTCCACACATCACTTGATAGCAAGTCACCTAGACGAGAATCTCCAACATTTTAATTTAAAGCTCACAAGTGGACTATATAGAAACCCCAAAGTATTTTTCTGTGGATAACAATAGGAGCTTTAAGCAGAAACTCCAATCCCTCCTGTCTCCTTCCAGCTCTCCTGTAAATGGTGGGTGGGGAGCTGAGCATCCAAACCATATATATTAAACAAATACATAACTTCACAAAGACGGTGTAGACTCCATGATCATCATGCTTTCGACCACATGGATATGCAACAGTTGTCTTTCAAATAACATGGCTGTGCCTTTGATTTCCCAGTTCCTGAAATTTGGATTGAGCTTATTTCAGAAAAGAATGGGTTGATGTGAGAGGGCAGGACTTGCACCGAGAGAAAGAGAGAACAGCTGACTCTGCAGGATGCTTAAGCACAGAAGTGCTTCTGCATACTCATTTTCTCCTGTGTTCTCAAATGATTCTGATGTGCAAAGTGATTTTGATGTCCAGAAACAGACCGAATATTGGGACTACCAGGCCAAGATTTTCTAAAGGAGGAAACTGAAATTAGACTCCTTGATCAATATTCAGATGCTTGTTGATGGCAGCCTTAAAACTTGTTCAACTTGCTCGACCAGAGCAACTGCAACCAGAATGCCACATGTCTGTGCTGCATGGGTAATCTCTGTAAGCAGGTGATCAATGCTGGCAGTGGCCCAGTGCTTCTGCACAAATTTTGTGGACAGTGCAAAGGCCACTTTTATAAACTTAGAGGCACACATTTTTATTTCTGATTAGAGAGGTCTTTTCCAACTATGTGTACCATCTTCCAGCCTCCTATCTCACCCATCCCTGAAGTCCAGCTCACATTCACGTTGTACACACCACGTAGGATGGGCTGCGACTTAAGGTGAGCAAAGCAGGGCATCAGGAGGTGAAGACTGGCTGCGAGGTTGAGGGGAGGAGGAGACAGCAGGGGATCTAGTTGTACCATATACCTGGAGTGAGTTCTGTTTCATTACTAAAAGAGTTTTTCCAAACTGATGGATGGATGGATGGATTCTTTGGCTAGAAACCCTGGTGGTTTGGTCAGGTTTGTAAAGGAATAGGAGGGACTCTCAGACTGGGGGACTGGAAAGTGAGAAAACTCCAGCCCTCTTCATACACCCTGAACATGCAATGATCCCCTAAAAGCCACTGACCTTCTGCAGATCCACAGCCCCAAAATGCTGATGACTCCCTCCCACCTTCATCAGAAAGACAAGAGCAGAAAGCATGAGTGGTCTTGTTACCTTATCAAAACCATTTGTTTGCAAAACTTGTTGAAGTTAAGGACTGATGACTGTCAGTTTCACAGGAAAAGCAAAGCATTTCACATGGTCACTCACATTGCTGAATTAAGGTGATCACAGCTGCCAGCAACACAACATTCAGAAATCCTGAGAAAGCAGCAAGATACCGCAAGCCTGAAGAACTGGAGGGAAGTTCTGCAAGATATAAGAGGGTTTTACAAACACAGCATGAATTTCTGCCCAGAATATAAATCTAGACATCATTCAGACAGAATGTCCATCACTGTTGTCTTGCTGTGTGCTTTGTTACAGTTGTTTTTTCCTTCTGGTTGCCTCCTGTGTGCCAAGTGGTTCTTTAATAAACTTTCATTTATGAAAACTTTTGGGGGGGCTTGAGTTTCCTTGTGCTGTCTTCGCTGTTTGCCAGTTCACTGGAGGTTTTGAAAGGCTATGGAACAGTTTCTGCTTCTTCATAGCAGGGGGATGTCACTTGCAGATACCATGAAGATTGTTAGATGTCACAGCAAGCAATTAACAAACTTTGCTGAAGAAAACCTCACAAAACTTAGTGAAAAGGGAATAACTGAAGTTTCTAACAGTTGCAGAGAAAGAGATTTATAAAACATGAAAGAATAAAAATAAGGTTCTAGGGCTATGAGTACCAACACTACCAATCAAGAAAGGACCAGTAGATTTTCTGAAAACTAAACTCTGTAATTACAGGACCCACTAATTAACTTTATCACCTGTACACTGGATGCCAAGTCAAAGGCCCTTAGAAAAGTCCACACGATAATTTGGATGTGGTTTTTTTTTTATCAAGTCCTTGATGTTCAGCCAATCCACCTGGAAAATTACTACAAAATATTTGAAAAATTAAGTAGCAGAGCACTAAACAAGGCTTATCTGCAGACCAGATGCTTGATTAAGGTCAACAAATAGAGATGCAAAAATGAGCTCCCCTGAAACTCAAAGAAAATTACTTTTAATTAGAATCAGAAAAGCCTGGAAATTGACAGTCATGGTGAATCTTCTTTCTCAGTATTACCCAACAATCTTCAAATTTATTCTTGCAGGACTGTCACACTCCTACCATACCACCTCCTAGTGAAACCCACTGCTGCTGTTTGTTCACTCACTTTATTTCAGGATTTCTACATATCTTGACACAGACTGACAGAACTATCTAGGCTGGAAAGAATGTCAGGAGGCCATCTAGTCCAGACTCCTGCTTGAGGTGGGTCAGGTTACAGTAGGTTTCTCAATGCTTTTTCCAGCCAATTTCTAAATATCTCCAAGGATGAGGCTTCCACAGCCTTTCCAGGCTACTGTCCTAATGTCTGACCGCCACCACGATAAGAAAAAATTTCTGGTGTCAAATTGTAACTTTCCTTGTTACAACTTATGTCTTTCAATGTGCACCTTCAAGAAGAGTTTGGTTCTGTCTTCTCCACACCCTCTCATTCGATAGTTAAAGAGAAAGGAAAGGCTCCCTTCAGCCTTCTCTTCTTAGGGCTGCACAAAGCCAATCGTCTCAGCTTCTCCTCTTGTGTCTCTTCTCCAGCTCTCTCACTGTCTCAGGACCCCTCCGCCGGACTTGTCCCAGAAGGCTTTCAGCTTGCTCTTGGAATGGGTTGTGATCTAGCTAATGTAGGCTGCAACACAGCAAAGGTCTTTAATATAAATGAGGCATAACAGATGTTCTATGATACCTCAAAGGATTCCTTGGAGCAGGGAGGAGAACAGTCAGAAATTGCCCAGCTATGCAGGAAATGTCAGGTTAATTTTTCTTCCTACCTTTCGAACATTAGTGTTTTCAGGGAATACTTTGTGAATGTTCTTCTAGAAAGACCAAGGTGTAATACACTGTTCTCTTTGTCCAAACTTACACTGGAAGAAAGCTTTTATATGCAAACCTTCCGTGACAACAGACAATAATAGAAGGGTGATTTTCTGTTCCATGGAAATGGCCATTCTTGGAAGACAAAACTGAGTGCCAAAATGTTATACCTTGTAGAGAACTTGTTCTATAAGAACTTGTTCTCTAACTAGTAGGAAAGATCAGGAAGTACCCCATACAAGTATCCTTTAAAAGCCACTACATTTCAAATGCTGGTGGTCCAGAGCAGATGTGAATCAGCTGTTTGAAAATTTCTCTGCTTCTACACTATTATTTCAAAAACGTAATGCATGGAGCTGTATTTCAAATCATGAAATGACTTGAAATTCGTGCTCCACAATAAAATAATTTCCGCTAACACTTTCACTTCATGTCTGCTTTCTAGCTACCATCGTTTTGCACAGAGGTAAGACATCTTTTTTCCTCATTCCTCTATTCAGTCATACTTACTTGGGAAACGCTGTATCTGTGACTAGTCATCTTTAACTATTCAAAGAACTAATCCACACTGTTTTTATATTGCCACCCTATTTAGATTGCAAATATATGTAAACACAATCCAGCAGTTTTCACTGGCTGTGCAACATATTACTGTCTGTGTGTGTTTTCCTGCTGCCTTTGAGTGCTCTGCAGTGATTTTGACGTAAAACAAGCAAATAGGATATCTGGGGTCTACTCTCAGCTCTGCCACGATTTGCACAACAGCAAGACTCCAGGCAAAATGGTAACGCTGACCCGTGTAAATGCTCAGATTAGCACTCCGCTACCCAGGGTGAGCTCTGGTAGCAGCAATGAGCTGAGAGCTCAGCGTTGGCCCAGCTTCTCAAGACAGCCCTGAGGCTTGCACCGCTGCCAAGGGTGGATGGGGTGCAAGGGGGGAGGGGAGCTCTGCGCTGTCGTCTTCCTTCTGTACTGCACGAACTGACGCCGAGATAGCACCAGATTAGGCCGATGAGGCATTGCAACCATTTCTAGCCACTCCAGTGAACACACTTCTGTGTGCCGTAGGTATATCATGCTACAACGACTAGTCTGCATCCGATCTAAAGCTGGCTCACACATCTTTCACTACAAGTAGAGACTCAGCTTGCAGTGCACTGTTTAACACGCTAAATGAAAGCACTGTTCTCTTCCGTTGCTTACCAGAAGTCTTTTTGCTGCCCTGTCGTGTCACACCACCCAGCCACGCAGGTAGACGATGAAGAGCGAGCACTTCAAACCCACCTTGGTCACTGTGCACTCTGCGTGTTTGTGGTCACACACTGTTCTGTATAATTGCCACATGCGCTTTGTCTGACTTTCTGTTTATTTTCAATGGAAATATTCAATCTACTCCATTACAGTAATGTTTTTGGAAACCTTGACCAATATTTTAAAGACTGTTGAAAGTTCTTAATTAAATAAATATTAGCTTTTATGATCAGTTTTCTGATTTTTTTTTTCTCAATTTCACTGGTTCTGTGCTTTTAGTGCAGTTGGGAACAGACTCTCTACTAAGCTGTTATAATAATAGACAAACTGGCACAAATTACATCACCAAAATTGCACACAATTTATCCTGCCATACCGAGTAACTGAAATTGGTTCTCGGGTTTTTTTCTGTTAAAAGTTGTCCTTACATAAATGTGCAGCCAGGATTTCTCAGGAACTGACCATCATCGCTAATTAACTGTCTGGAAACTGGATGTCTAATTGCTCTGAGGACTTTGTATTTATGACCAGAGCAGCTCTTCCCTGGGACACGTGAAAGAAATACAGGTTAGCAAGGGTGAGCTTGAAAGCCTTCCAGTATACATCTTTGTACTTTCTCCCTTGCCACTCCTGACACTTTTGACAATATCTCCAGAAAAAGCTTACTGGACAGTAAGTTACTGTCTTGCAGTTTTCATTTAAATTATTTTTAAATTCTTCTTAGCTATGATTCCTGAAAACAAAGCGAAAGAAAAACCCCAACCAAAAACCCTGCAGAAAACTTAAATGGCTCATGAGCCATTAACCACTGCAAACTTGCTGACAATTACTGCCTCAAGTTTTCCTCACATGCCTCTGTCTCCTAGTCTCCATTCCGTACTGGGGCTGTCAGCACCGGTTCTCCAAGTCAGCTGGTACTATTAGTACTGCATTTTATCTCCTGTCCATCATATTTCTCTGTATACTGCCATATATCGTTGGCAACTTTAGTTACACCAACTAAAATTTTGGCAGATTTGGGTTTTTCGATGATAACTCAAAACCAGCTGAATATAGCTGGAGAGATTTGTTATTCACAGAACAAGTCTGAAGGCACAGCACAAATGGTTACACGCTCACCTGCAGTGGAGCTTTTCTTCCTTGCTTTGAAATGAAGTTCTGTGTAACCCTCTTCATTCTCCATCTCAAGGTCTTTTCATCACTTCTTCCTACTGTAGACTGTTTGACTGTAAGTGTTGAACTAGGTTATGGGAAATGCTTCAAACGGGTGTGATAAACAGGAAGGGGCCAGCGGATGGCCATTTGTGCTTTCAGCTGCAGCCATGCAGTAGCAGGACTATGAAAAAGAACTTAACAGCATACACTGCACAGAAAAGCAAACTCTTTTTCTCTGTTTTCTCACTTCCTCTGTCTTTCTCTGACAAACTCCAGACCCTTCCAACAGACACTTCCAACACTGCATTTTCTCCAATGCAGTATCACAGTCCTCAAATGCAGTCTTTCAATGTGCACACAATCCTGCACCTGAGAGCAGAGATTCCAGCCCCTCAAGCCCATTTCACTGGACTGATGGACTTTTCTTGTTTACCTTCAGCTGTGTCAACCTCTGTATTTTCCTTCAGTGCTGGGAATTGCTTCTTGCTTTACCAGGAGAAGACTGTGTGCATATGTCTCATTAAATAGCTGGAAAGGGCATTTAAATACACGTGTTGATCCTTGGTTCTGCTTCGCGCCTGTCCACTTGATCAACTCTTCATAAACTTCAGCAATTTGATACCTTTCTTTAAACGGAGACTCGTGTGGCACGGAACCACTGAAGCAGATCTGTTCAAACCTTACAGTGTGGAATGCTTCTACCGCACTTCAGAAGGACAAGCCTGGGCTTTTTGTATCAGCAGACAGTTGTTTACTTTGAAATTACTATGCAAGGTCTTTTCCAAAAAAGTAAAGTTGGATATTCTAGCAAGTTCTTGGTGATCTTTTAAGTGCTAGCCTGCAATATTTCTTTCTGGAAATAGAGGATTCAATAGAAAGTTGAAAGTTTTGGTCTCTGAAATGTTTATAATGATTGCTGTCTGCTGTCATATTCACCTGGTTTCACCAAGGTTTTCTTTGGGTCACGACTAAATCCTAGCTTCACTTTTAATGTGTCCATATAGCATCTAGTGGCAATACATCATGGGAGACATAGATTATCCTGTCACTAGCTGTAGTATGCAATTAAATACTTAGTGTCTTAAACACTTGCCTCAGCTTGAAGGAATATAAATGCATCCAGAGCACCAGACAGAAATTATTCACTGATTTCTTAAACAAAACCTCTCTGATTATTAGGAATGGTCATTTAAGCTTGGAAACCACAGTCACTTTACCTCAGCTTTTATATTGTGTTTAGTACCTGAAAGCCAGGGTCAAGCTGTATACAGTACAATCACATACTGCAAAATAGTGAGAAGTCTTTCAAACACAAACATACTCTTGAGTCTGATGGATCAGTATGAAATAAAAGGTGCTGAGGGACCAACAAATACATTCTGTTTCTACACGGTGGTAGTACTTACCATGCAGCATAACAATGCTAAATAACTCTCCTGCACCCAGTGCAGACAAACCCTTCCAGTGTTACCAGCTTTCTGAATCATTGTCTTGGAAGATGCTTGGAAGGTAAAGTTTAGATATGGATTTTTTAACTGTTTCTAGAACAGCCCTGGAGTGATTTACATGCTCTGAGTTATAGCTTTTTTGTCACCAGATGAAACAGCTGGTCAAATAAAAGACACAGCAACTCCAAACAAGCCTTACTTCACTTAACACACTTAGCTTGATCTGCATCCATCCCCACAGCAGATATGCGCGACTCAAAGGACCCACACTGGAGCAGCTTTATCCTGAAGGACTGCAGCCCACGGAGGACCAAAGGTGGAGCAGGGGAACACTGTGAGGAGGAAGGTGCAGCAGAGAGGAGCTGTTATGGAGTGACCCCACAGCCCCCATCCCCCTGTGCCGCTCGGGGTGGAGGGTGATGAGGGTAGTGAAGTCAGGAGTAAAGCAGTGAAGTTGAGCCTGGGAAGAGGGAGCAGGAGGAAGGTGTTGCACTATTTTTTACTTCGTTTCTCACTATCCAAATCTATTTTAATCTGCAATAAACAATTAACTTTCCCAAGTCAAGTCTGATTTGCCTATAAATGTAACTGGCAAGTGTTCTCTCTGCCTTTATCATGGCCCACAAGCTTTTTCATCTTATATTGTCCCCTGCCCTGTTGAGGAGCGGGAATGAGAGAGCGGCTGGCCGGGCGGCTGGCAGACAGCCAAGGTCAAGCCACTGCCGTCGTCTTACCAGTCTATATTGTTTTTCTTTTTTCTTGTATATTTGCTAATCTGTAAAGGTCTAGTAAATCAAAGGCAGTGGATCCTGTGGTTGTCTCAGGAAGCTCTTAAAAAGATCAGCAAGAGAGCATCCATGGGAATAATGACAGAAATTGATTCCCAGGTGGATTATTCTACTGCATAGGAACAAACCAGTTTTAAAAAGCCATGTATCTAGTAAATAAACTGTTTGAATATTATGGTCTTTTGTTTCATTTGTACTAAATCCTTTTTTACATGGTCAAATCAGTTTTTAAAAGTTTGGAGTAGAAGTGAAAATATATTCATATATCTACACACAAAGATTGCAGAAACAACTAACGTGTACTAAATCCTATGTAATAGCAAAATATTAACCTTTGACGACCCCTTCTTGTTACAGTATTTTCAAGGATCTGCGTTTTTTACATCATTCTCACAAGGATGGCATTATTATTAATTTTGTGTACTGCAGCAATGCTGTCCTGGAACAGTGAGTACCATACAAATGTATGACAAGATGGTGATTTTACCGTGTCAAAGATTATTAGCTACAAATTATCTACAAAAAGATATGCCAAATAGATGGATAAAGAAGGAAAATGGAGGAGCATGGAGGACACAAGAAGGGTAACCCAATAATGCTGTTCATGATGGGTGATGATCTCATAGCAATATCTGCTAAGCTATTACCGAGGTTTTAGTTCCACACTAGCAGAGGACAGCCTTGGGAAAGTACCAGGGGAAAGTACCAGGGGAAAGTACCAGGGGAAAGTCAAGGAGTAAGGTATTTACAGGCAGTGTCTTCCAGCTGCAGCAGGAAAAAGCACAGAGCTGTTTTTTAAATAAGTTAGTAAGTTAAGTTAAGCTCAAGGTTGTTTACACGTGTCGTGGTTTAACCCTGCAGTCAGGAACTACGACCAGACAGCCGCTCGCTCACTCCTCGCTCCCCCCTCAGTTGGATGGGGACAAGAATAGACAAAAAGTAAAACTTGTGGGTTGAGATAAAGACAGTTTAATAAGAAAACAAAATAAATTATTATTAAGAATAATAATAATGATGAATATGCAAAACAAGAAATACACAATGCAATTTTTCTCACCGCCCAATGGCTGCAGCCAGTCCCCCAGCAGCAATCATGGAACTCGTGGATTCCGTGAAGCTCGCCAAACTCAGGGAACTTGCTGATTCCTGTCCCCCGACCAACCCCCACTTGTATACTAAGCATGACGTATACGGTATGGAATATTTCTGTTCGTCAGCCTGGGCTGGCTGCCTGGCTGTGGTCCCTCCCAGCTCCTGCACACCGGCTCATCAGCTGAATACGAGAAACTGGGAAAAAAGTCCTTGATTTCTTGGCAACAACTAAAGACATCAGTGTGTTATCAACATTCTTCGTATACTAATTCAAAACACAGCAGCTATGGGGAAGAAACTTAACTGTAACCCAGTCAAAACCAGGAGAGCAGGTTGGCAGTAGAACCTGATACCAAGGTTGCAGGGATGGAGGTCAGAGACAGTCACAAGCTGTGAAAATGTAGATCAATGTCTCAGCAGAAGGACAAAGCATGCAACTTAGCCCAAAACACCAAGCCAGGGGAGAATTCCAGGACGATGTAGGCATGCTGATAAGTAAACATGAGTGTCCACATGGAATTTTTTGAGTATGTGTGTACTTACAGTTCATGTGCATTGCATTTTACAAGATCACAAATCTAGTTCCTCTTATTTTTGCATGCTCAGAGAACTGTCTTTGTCTTCCTTTCATCCTGCTTCTTGTTTCTCAAACAGACTTCACACTTCACATTTTATTTCAGTAGAAAGAAAACTTCAAAGCCACTTACATGCACATATAAAATGCTATATCATTTCCTCTTCTTTGTAAATGCCAATATATGCGTCTAACTGAAAACAAGAGCATTTAAATTGAATTCTGGGAAAAGCAAACAAGCATCCTTTCTTGACAGCACGGTGTTGTGAATTCAAGTCAAAAGCACTTGTGGGTTTTTTTTTTTTTATTTTGGAAGGATATTTATATTCCTTTTACTGAGGTGATAGATCCAGAGGATTCTGGCAGAGCTAAACAACCAGGCAAGAAAGGCTCTGAACACCGAGAAGCCAGCCTACAAAAAGATGAGTGTTAAAATAAAGCAAAAGGAGAGGACCATAAGTTCTGTAAAGTTGAATATGAAAACACAATAAAGCAAAACAACAAAGAGACTGAGGAGCAGCTTGCAAGAAACATAAAAATAATTAAACCTCCGTTGTTCAGGAGCAGGGAACCTGACAAAAGGTCTGTAAGGCAATAGGTGATCAGTTTATAGGTAAGGGCACAGAGTAGCAGGGGTGTGCTTCTTTGCACATGTGTTTTCTGTGGAGGAACTTGAGGAGGTTTCCATGCTAGAATCTTCTTCATGGACAACATATGAGAGGCTGTGTCTCAATTCAGAAGGTCAGTGCAAGAGGTTATGAAACAAACTGGCAAAATTAATAGGCCCAAATAGCTGAGGTCAGATGCTATTCTTCCAAGACCTCTCAAGGAACTCAGCAAACAGGCAGCCAAGCTGCTAAGAGTGGTATGCAACTTTGTTAGGAATTTCCTGGAATCAGAAATCTGGTTTTTAAGGGTCTCAAAAGAGATGTGAAGAACTTCCAATAAGTAAATCTGATCTTTAAATGGGAAAGAAAACCCCCCAAAAACCCAAACTCAAATAAAGAAAAGAATTTGCTGTCATGTGACTAAATATGTTCGCTGGTGAAAGATATTTAGAGGGAAATCATGTCTCTCACATCCAAGGGAATTTCTTGAATAATAATTCTGAACTCCAAAAGTTCAA